CTGAAACTTAAACAGATGCCCACCAAAGCTGCTCTATCACTGCCCTCCTCAGCTGGACAGAGGAGAGAAAATATGGTGAAAGGCTTGTGGGTTGAGAGAAGGACAGGGAAAGATTATTCACCAATTACCATCACAGGCAACAGACTCAACTTGGGGAAATTAATTTATTTCCAGTCAGTGTAGGGTAATGAGAAATAAAACCAAATCTTAAAAACACCTTCCCTCCACCCCTCCCTTCTTTCCACCTTCAACTTCACTCCTAATTTTCTCTGCTTCCTCCCCCCTTAGTGGTGGAGGGGAACAGACAATGGGGGTTAAGGTCAGTTCATTACATGTTGTTTCCAATGCTCCTTCCTCCTCATACTCTTCCACTTCTCCAGCATGGGATCCCTTCCATGGAATGCAGTCCTCCACAAATTTCTCCAACATGAGTCCTTCCCTTGGGCTGCAGATCTTCACAAACTGCTCCAGAGTGGGTGTCTGCCATGGGTGCAATCCTTCAGGAATAGACGGCTCCAGCGTGGGTCCCCTGTAGGGTCACAAGTCCTGCCAGCAAACCTGTTCCGGCATGGGCTTCCTACAGGGTTACAGTCTCCTTTGGGCATCCCCCTGCTCCAGCGTGAGGTCCTCCACGGGCTGCAGGTGGCTGTGTGCTCCACCATGGATCTCCATGGACTGCAGTGGAATCTCTGCCCTGGCACCTGGAACACCTCCCCTCTTTTACTGACCTTGGTGTCTGCAGTGTCGTTGCTCTCTCATATTCTCACTCCTCTCTCCCACTGAAATTACTGTTGTGCAGTAACTTTTTCCCCTTCTTAATGATGTCCTAGAGGTGTTACCACTGCTGCTGATGGGCTTGGCCTTTGCCAGTGATGGGTCTGTCTTGGAGCCAGCCGGCAGCATTGGCTCTGTTGGACACAGAGAAAGCTTCTAACAGCTTCTTACAGAAGCCATACCTGTAGCCCCCTGCAATCAAAACCTTGTCATGCAAGCCCAGTACAGCCTGTACATATATGCATAGAAGGATCAGCACTTCAATGAGGCAGATGCTGTCCAGGGAAAAAAACCCAGAAGTAATCTTTGTGCACAATACAGCAATTTCAATGTTGAAGATTTCAATGTCTATAAAAATTCATAATTTATATGAATAAATATTGAGTATAAAACAATGTTCAAGGCATAGTAATTTAAAGTTAATACTGAATGTATCGTGGTAGGGCAGACATTTTGATGCATCAATGCTAGGACAGCACTGCCATTAAAATTCACTCATTATAATCAAAGATGCTTGGACACACTATGAACAATCGAAATGGATCATGCAGCCCAAGCACTATGTAATTCAATATCACAGTCTACAAGACATTTGAAAATATAAGTTAAAACCCAAACCCATCTGAATGCGAGAGGTTGAAAGGCCATTATTCTGGATGGATACTAAATACTACTTTGATTAAAAATAACAGTAAAGGGCAGAGGAGTTCAGAAATTGAGTTGGCAGAATGTCCATGCTATCTTTAACCTTTAGGGAACCGTGAGCTTTCCAACAGGACCAATGAGTATAACTCAAGGTTTCAGCAGGGTCATGACAACAAACAGGTTAAAACTGCCCAAGATAAAAAAAAAAAAAAAAAAAAAAAAAAAAAAAGGGGGGGGGGGGGACAAAAAAAAGTGGGGGGGGGGCATCAAACCAGCAGTCTGTATGTTTTACCAAAAGCCTGAACACTTTCTTTCATTTTCTAGAGTTCATAAGAGATAGATAAGAATCCCTTAATATTAAAAAGGCCATATAACAGGTAGCAGCTACCTTTTAATCCCAATTATAATTTAAGGTCAATAAGGCCATGAATCCTGCATCTTTTAAATTCAAGTTATAAGGCCACGAATCTTGTATATTTTAATTTCATTTAGAGTTCAGACCAAATTATGATTTACCCAGTGATAAAAAGATGCAAGATCACTATATTTCTTATCCTTGCAGAAGGATGAAGGAACCAATATTGAGATGGTGGCCCTCTACTTGCACACTTCCCAAGTCAAAGGCTACCTGAAACAACATCTCTGCCTGAAAAAGGAAGTTTTTAAGGTACTTGGGGCAGGAAGCGTTTTGTATGTACACAGACTGAAATGATAAAATAACCATCCAGCAGAATTTATCATGAGAATGTAAGCTACATAGGATGTCTAACCTAGAAATTTTCACCAAATAAACACTACTGTAGTATTTTTTTTCCTGTTTAAACACAAACTGAAACAGACACATGAGCTCACAAACAAAGCTTTAGGATGGTCATGAACAATACAGGCACAATTTCTTTCAAATAATCTTCATTACATAGTTAGAGCTGAATCTATTATGTTCCTTATTTTTAATATTATTGTACTGTAAGACAAAACTCTGAAGTGACCTTTTGCATACTGCCAAGCTGCCAAGTGAATGATGTATTTCAATTCTGAATTATTAATCTTGCTGGCATTTTGTTAATGTATTTTTTTTTTTTTCTCCTCAAAGTATACTGCTGCCCCCATTTCTTAAATTCTTCAGCAATTCATAATGTGAAGGACAAAGGCATACACACACTTAGAGAGAACTGTGTGTCTTTACCAAATAAGGTGATCTGTAATGGGAGAAAGGGGGCCAGTTCTCTGTTTTGGAACCAAGGTCACTAGCAAGATGTTAAGAATAGAAAGATAAGAGAACACCAGTTTTTAAGATCAAGATGTTTCACCATTCAATATCATAGTTATACTGCACATATTTCATTTACAACTATTTCCTCCTATCACCATTTATCAGATGCTTACTCAGGCCCTGAGTCTGTAAGAATGACTCAAACTATTCCCCAGCGATTAATCACTACAGTTGAATGAGGATTTGTTCAATTTAAGGAGACTGAACACTATTACAACTCAATAGGTCTGACACAAAGTTTAAACAAACAAAACTGAAGCTTGGAATAGCTTGTTTTTCTACTACTGCAGTTAAGATACACCTAGAAAATCCCACACTGAAAAGATCACTAATTGCTCTAAGTCCTTTCTAGTTTTCTCAGCAATTGTAATGCCTCATTAAGCTTTTTAAATTAATAGAGGCTGACTCTGCATTAGCTGCACAGATGCACTGCACAACTACAATCTAGGAAGACTATATGCCATCTCCAGCCTTTATGAAATCAGTTGATGGAAACATGCCAGGGAAAACATTTTATTGAGGCACCAGTTCAAATTTTTACTCAAGTTTTTCCATCTCAAAAATGTTCCTTTAAACATAGGGACTAGGAAGTCAGGTACTTGCTAATTTAAGATTGGCATATTTCAGATTGCAAGAGATAACAAATAAAATAGCATGGGGCCTCTGTTCAATCTGACTGAGATGAACTATCACTTTATACATATCCTGTACATGTAAAACAAATGATGTTTGACACTTTCTGCTCACTTACTAGCCTGAAGTTAAATTGGGTCTGTCTAAACTTCCACGTATCTTTCCAAATCAAAGTTTTTTAGTTAATCGAAAAAGGGCTTCATGACTAGTTTGACTTAAGCACTTCTCCACAAACTACAGTGTCATTCTCTACCAGGAAGATGGTCCCATTGCCTTCCTCAGGCTAAAATACCAGTCTGGTCTTATAAGACTCAATTTCTGGCTGGATCAGATTTCCTGATCCATCCCACCAGTTTCAAACAGTAATGCTCCCTCAAAGGAACAGGAACAAAACCACTCTGCAGCACAAAGGCAGACTAGCTATCTAATAAAGCTCATCTGAATTATCTTACGATTCTAAGCTAATGAAACCCAGTTTTAGCTTTTACCAGTAAGGCTTGGCATTTTAAAATAAGCCATTCACATAGGAACTACTAGAAGATAAAGTTGTTTCCAAATGTGAATGAAAGCATTTGTGTGTAGGGTGAAGATTCATGTTCTCAAGAGCAAACAACAACAACATATGTAAAGATGCCCAAATAAATTTATTTTTCTCTTAAAAACTACATAACTCTTTAGGAAAAAAAAATAACAGCCTAAGAAATCTCAACACAGATTAAAGTATATCCAATCTGGCACATACTTCATGCTCATGTTTAAGAAAACATCAGCATCATCAGACCAAGCAAGATAAGACTTCTGAAGACAGTAGCAATGAGGTACCAGGACAGAAGAAACCCTTAAAATAAAGGGGAGTTCCAAAGCCTTGCAACCAAGTAAAGCCAGAATTCCAGAATGTATTTAAGAACTGTGAAATCTCTCTAATCTTTTTGATCTTCATTTGCTGCCAAAAATACATGAATTATACCAAGGAAACATAAGCATTTCACTATACTGAGTTACAAACTGGTAAACCAGTTCACCAGCTCCAAGTAGTCAGAAGAGTGCAGCACTGTTCTAAAGATGAAAAAGATAGAGCTTGGGGCATGGGGGGAAGGGTTTGATAGGCTAGCAAGAACCAGTTAAGCTATTTCCTTCCAGACCTCTCTCCTTTCTCATGATATTCAGAACCATCAAGACAGGAAAAAGCAGCAAGTTCATTATTGCAGAACAGCAAGATACTTACTTCTGCACTCTTGGTAAAGCTTCCAGTGTTAGTGCATGAAAAAGTTACTAGATGTTTATTTCTGGATGTGCATATGGGTGAGATTACCTTAACTATGTGCCAGCAGTACAACTATATCCATTAATGTGTTTCATATGTAAAGTATTAGCTGAAAATATTCTGCCTTAAATGGCTGGACATGTATTTTTTTTTTTTTTTAGTACCTCTATAACCATGCCTTTCCCTTGTTAAATAGGAGTTACACATCTTGTTCTTACTCAGTGGTAAAAGCCACCTGCTTCACTCAGTCCTAGTGAACACATTAAGATCTCTCTTATCTGTCATCGGCCCCTTCAATATTTCTGGGATGTCTCAAAGAGAACTAGCGGTGGGGGATAATAAATAGGGACACATGTATAGGTGAGAAGGCTAAAGTGGGACATTACTGGTGAGAAAGGAAAAGTTTACTTTAAAGGTGCCAGTATCTATTCAGCTAAAACCATGACAAGTGAGTCCTATGGAATGTAGCATAAATCCTAGAAGCAAACTAGACACAGAATGTTGTTTTTGTTCCTTTTTAGGAGTGTAAACACTACCTTATTTTCTCAGGTAAGAAGAAACTAATAAGACTTATATTTAGCCACTCAAGCAAGTGGAGTGATAACTTCCAAGATACTCAGTTTCATGCAAAACAAGAATATGTAAACACCCACAAGAATCACCTATTTAGATAATACCAGGCACCCCAAATGAATTGTCACAATGCAGCACCATAGCAGCAGTTTGATTTAAGGAACAGTCTTGCTGCTTGTCCCATCACATTTACTCAACAGTGGTAGCATTAGCAGCACTGCGATTTACTCTCTGCTTTCAATGGGTCTAGGTCCAGTTTTGGTTTCCCCACATCATTCTCTTCATTAGGAAAGGTTTTGTAGTTGGCAAGGATGTTTTCCACCAAGAATCGAGCAGCTTCATCTATGTTGATGTTGTCCTAGAAATGTTGAAAGGAAAGAAGTGATTTTTTTGAAATAGTGATGCATTCCTATTAGATGCTGGCAGAATATAAAAACTCTTCTATTGCCTCATTAGCATGACACAAACAGCTTAAATGCATCAGGTCATTGCTCATACACTTGCTTTTTGAAAAAAGTTACCAGAAAGCTTCGAGGCAAAGTTATCCACCCATATTACTAACAGGATACTTCAAATCTAATCTAATAGGCAGCCAGGGATAACTGTCATCTGCATTTGGAAGACTCAAAACGCATTTCTGCATCAGGAAAGATAGACAGACTGTTCATAGTAGTGTTCAACCTTTTGGGGCCTTTCTCTGCTTCTGCTGCAGTTTGGATGCACTTATGTAAAAGGACCTTTATTGGCCTCAAAACCCCAGCTAAATCAGGGTGCCTCTTCTACCAACATGTGCATGTTTTGAACCACACCTTCACAATACACACTTTTCTTTAGAGTGTATGCAGGATACCCCTATTAAATGTCATTAGGTATCTCAGTTACTGAGGGGCCAAGCTGGCCAGTGCCACGGGGCCTTTGGCCAGAGCTTTGATTTGTCTGGGCCACCAGGGCTCACTACAGGGCTACCATGTTTGGAATTGCTTATCTTCAGTTCCAAGCAAAACACCACCCCAGAACACTCTTCTGCTTACAGACTCTACATGAGCAAGGCTTGATCATGAGAACATTTGACATGTTACTGCTGCACTTCACAAGCTTGTGGTTGTCAGACACAAATTGCTTTTTGGCAGTTCGCAGATAGGCACCTTTCCCTTACCAGAGAGGAGGACAACTCTCCTTATTTTGGTGTATGGATGTTCATAAGGTACTTCTATGCATATTTACACACTCTGCAATTCTTTTGCCTTTAATATTCTCCCTAATCCATAGAGAGTGGGACCTGTATTACTGATGACTAGACTGAAGATTCAAGTATCATTTCCAGCAGAAAGGCAAAAGCAAATTATCAAGATATTTAAGTGGGCAGGACCTTAAAACCATAAACTGATTTGGTATGCTTGGAAAACAAGAAAGCTGTCCTGCGTTTTTGCTAAGGTATTTTAACTACACCTCTTCCGAGTCCTATCAAGTCAAATAATAACTGAATTAGGACTAATATTGTCTGGACTTTTCTCTGCACCAAGAACCTTGTTTGACATTGTCATGTCTTAAATGTCACCTAAAATGCAAGCTGTCACTATGCTTCCACAATAAATTTTCTCCCTGTGTTATTTACATTTGTTTTCAACCCATGTTGAAGTTTATACATAGCAGTATCATGGACAGGTGAAGCTCCAGGGAAGATATAACCCAAAGCAGAATCTTGGTATTCTTTAAGTATTAGGAACCTTACAGTGGGATATTTTAGAAATAGATGTAGGAATAGCAATAGATGGGGAATTCAGGAATAATTTGTTCAAATGCAAACAAATGATTAGCTAATTTAACTAATTGTGTCACTGTGTACCCTTCATCCTTAAAGTGATCAGGCAGAGGCTTATTACTTTATCTCTTGTATCATTCTTACAGAGCTTTTCCTTTTAATGAGTTGTGTAAGCATCATTTTGTGCCAGTTCATCAGCAGCAGTTAAAGGAAGTAGGCCAGCCAAGGGAAAAGAGGGACCTTGAGGTTTAGCTTTCCATATAAAGGAGTTATTAGCCAGACCAATAATTTGGTCTGTCAGCCGCATTGTTTTCATACAGACAAACCTTTAATTTTAAGAATTGATTTGAGTTTTAAGAAACTGTTGAATTTCACTTCCAGCTAAGCTGCTGCAACCTCATCTGTGCATTAACCAACTCTGTAGAATAAAAGTGTATGATATATGAAGTTACTCAAAGTTCTGTTCGAATAAAGCAGCTGTCTTAGCCTAAGTTACTATAAAGAACAATTTGGTTTTCTCCAGTTTTGCCTTAACACTGCCTCATAAAGCAGAAAATGCTTTAGTGACATTATCATCCAGGTAAGTAGTACCAAGTGAGCAAATTGCTTGTTCACTTCTAGAGTCTTACCACTTCCTACATGCAACAGTGAAGACAGAAGCTGTAATATAAAAACCTGCACCTAAAGATTACTCATATCTTTTTGATATTAATATTAACATCTAAAGAATAACTCTGATCCTGATGCAGGCAAGATGAAAAGAATTATTAAATTCAGTTAAGTTTCCAGTTACTTCTGAGGTTCTCTGAATTTAATATGTAGTTCTAATCTAATACAAATATGCCATAAACCTGCACACCACTTCCAACTTTTCCTGAACACCAGAGACTTGGCCATCACTTGCTGTACTTGATAATTTTATTTCTACATGACTATTTTCATCCAATACTTAGAGTTGAAACATATTTATTTATGCTTACCTTTGCAGATGTTTCAAACCATCCAACAAAGCCACCTTCTCTGCAGAACTGGTCCATTTGAGAGGGATTCTGGCTGCCGTCTTTCTTCTGGTCACACTTGTTTGCAAGAAGAACAACAGGGATGGGGCTGCCATTGGGCAGGAGTACTTTACTGTCCAAATCATGCTTCCATTTTAAAACAGCCTCAAAAGTAGACCCTCTTGTGACATCAAAGACCACAAAAGCACCAACTGCCTCTTTGTAGTATACTCTGGTCATATTTCCAAAGCGCTCCTGGCCTGAAAGAGAGGACAGTGACAGAATATATTTATACTAAAGCATGAACTGTAGTGAGTGTAAACTGACTTCTATACCAGGTTAGTACATACAAGTTTGGGATTCAGGTCTATTCACCTAATCCATATAACATTGCTATTTCTATCCTAAGTAAGCTCACTGTAACAGCCATTATATATATTATGCATATGACAAGTTGGCAAGTCAGATGCTAAGAGCAGTTTGCAATCACCATCTAATATTTTTGATATTTTTATTTTTTTATTACAACTTAGTGTTCTTTGAGAAGTAATGACTAAAAAAAGAAAACCACTACCAGCACAACTATACACAAATCATTCTTTCATCAAAAAAAGTTCTTCACTATTTAGATATAACTCTACAGTTACTTCAGCTAGAAACTTAAGCCAACTCAGGGCCTTTTTCTGAAGCATGAGCAACAAGGGTTTCTACAAGCTCCAAGGCTAACAGCCTTCAAACTATCTTCTGATGAAGACACCTATATTATAGATTTTTCCTTATGGACAAGCTCAAAAGGAGGTAGTTTAACAGTCCTAGCTAAACTTGTTATCTTCGATTTTATCTTTGAAGTCCAAGACTATCTGGAATAATGTCTAACTACAAGAACTCCACAGCACTCCCAGAATTTGAAACAAGATTATCAGAATAGTTAAAGTACAATTATTCACAATAAAAATCCAGAAGACGACCAACGGTCAATGAGTATAATGAAATAAAAAAGCCTTTTCTTATAAAGTACAACTATTGTAGTTGTACTCGAAATGTAGAATTAGAGTGCCCGTTCAGTTGTTCGTCTGTTCAGCAGGTCAGACCACCATGCTACGTTTGTATTTGAGCATGCACAGCAGTATCAAATGCTAGCATGTTGTTTGGAAAGTTCAAGCTACTAAAATAGCTTTCTGCTTTGTTCAGAAGTCTTCACTGGGAACAGTCATCCCTGCACTTTATAATTTACTTTTACAGTGTATCATCACTTCAGCTTTTAGTGCTTATGTAATTTTAGTAAAAGTCTTAATTGGAAACATAGTTGTCCTCCGTTTATAAACACTGAAGTCAGCCTTTCATTAGCAAGGACAAACATTTACAAGAAGTGGGGTATTAACTTCTCAGAAAGAGCCAGAAATTCATTAGGTGACGGAACTTGACAAGGGATCCTGTTCAACAGCATGCCTCATATCAACTTCAGCACTTCAGTGTACATATTAGCTCATTCCCTATAGACATTTTCAGAAAAGGTTGACTAAGCAGCTGTTAGAATTGCCTGAAAGCAGCAGCAGTGAAGTTCCAGAGAAGTATAAAGCTGACTTTATTTCTGTCTGTTCAGCTTTAAAGAATGATGCTGCATAAAACAGCATCACTAGCCAGCATATTCTGAGGAGTAGAAATTATACATGAATTTCTTCACTACCAGCTCATTATCCTCTGTGTGACAACAAAGCTCTTCCCTCCATATTCAAAGTTCTAAATTTGCAGTAACATTTATGCCATGACCTCTAAGGCAAACAAGCCAGGCACCGAGCCTGTATCTCTGTGACTATGTCACTGGAAGAGACATTGCTGAAATGTATCTCCTAAACAGTATACACACAACTTGTATACAAGTAACTCACATGGTCTCTCTAAGCCTTTCTAGGCTAGATTCTTAAGCCTAAAAGGTGGTTTTGGCCTGCACTGAACTGAACTATACTTTGTTCTCAGTAGCATTACTTAGAAACCATGGGCTTCAGCTGTCAAGAATTATTTAAGTATTATTTCCATCTGGCTTTATGATAGAATTCAATTTTTGCTCTTATAGTATGAGGTTTAGATTTGGAAACACATTGATACATATTGTTCAGTAATTTAAATTTGGACAAAAGTAGTCAACTGATGTGCATATCAGTGTGAAAGCTTATCTTTACTTATTAGATTTAAGCTTGACATTAGGAGTATTTTATGCCCCTTACCCCTAAAAACACACACAAGTTCAATACCTCTACAGTATTAGAGTTTAATGCCTTTTAACTGGTCAAAGGCAGCACTCACACTAGAGTGTCCTTTTCTAAAGTAGCCCAGCCTCCAAACCAGTTTATTACAGAGCTACTTTCATCTCTAGAATTAACTAACACTAACAATAAACCTGACCCACACACTAGCTTACAACTGCTCTTCTGGTCTATCTGGAGGCCTAACGAGGAAGGATATATTATTTCTATTTTGTAGAAAGAAGACAGAAGTAATAACACATGGCCAGCCTAAGAGGTAAGTTAGTTTTGTTGTGGTAAAAGGTATATGGCATGAGGCAGGAAGAGAATTCAGTATAAACTGAGTAGACTTCTACAATTCTATTATTACTGACAACGCACATACTAAGCTTCTTATAGGGGGTGCAGAGCATTCTAGGCAGCCTTTTGAAAATTTAGCAGTACTTTCACACAAAGCTTTAGCAGGTGCTCTTCTTGCAAAAACACCCATACAGAAAAAGCAAACTGCACAACTAGGAGTCTGAACATCATCCTATTTGTTATTAAAACTAAATGACTCAATTTTTGCCATGCTCAGTTCAACCAGGGATTTGTCATTCCCTTTCCTATGTCCAGCAAATTTTTGCTCTAGTCATTTCACCATGTGCGAGAATAGTACTGAGCAGCAGTACAGAAAGTGGAACGTATCCACAAAGGGGAAAAAGACAAAAAGTGATAGATGAAACTAGACTTAAAAACTCCAGTGTGTATAATCATGGAAGGAAGAGGACAGGAAGATAACTACTTGCTTACTACAACAGTGTGGAAAGTATATTATAGATTAATCACACTGGTAGGTCTAGTGCCTTGACTTACACCTGAAGGTACCACAAAGGTATACTTTCCCTATGTTTTAGGGGTTCAGGTATAGATGAGGAGCTAAGCTACAGGGCAGTCACAGGGCTCAGAGGTTTTGCTTAGAGGTATGGAAGTGCTGCATGCAATGCAAAGTTCTGCATTCTCTAACCACAAAGTTTTCACATCTAAATGACTCAGCACATATTGCCACCATATTTTCCAGTAATTGCAACAACAGTAGATGAAATACTTGCATAATGTGATGGATCAGGAACTAATACAGTTCCCTACAGCATAGCAAGCATTAAGTTTAGTTTAAAACTGTATGAGAGCTTGGGGACTATTAGTTTATTATTAAACTTCCCAGTTTACATTGTAACAGGGGTAAACTGTAAGCTAAAAACTACATGAAAAAAAATTATAGCCAGGTCTGACAGAAGCTTTATCTATGCCCTTTACTTCACTGCAAAATACAAGTAATCACTGCAACCTTGCCTTCAAGTACATTTTAAAGAGTTTCTACAGCAATCTTTGCCAGTGTGAGGAATAACCAAGACTCCTATTTATCACAGCAGCGTGACCTATTGTGGCAGTTCCTGCTTTTAGTTAGCTGGAGATACCCTACACTCCTACCATTATTTCTGCTCTTACTCTTAACTCCTCCTGTGTGGTGGGAATTGAGACTAGAAAATGCAAGTTAAAGGTACAAATGAGTGCTGGATATGCATGATACTGAGTTTTTGTCAGGGTTGCTTCTCCCAGACTATTTACTATACCTGGAAGTCTTAATATGTAGTTTATATGAACTTAAAGGGACTTAATCAAGAAGAATAAAATGGCCAAGCTAGCTTCCCAAGCTGTAATTTTTTTTTCTGTGAAGGTTAATTTTGGTTTACCTCTGTCAATACCAACAGTATAGAAAGAGTTCCCCTACCTTGTAAAAATCTAAGCTTAGTCTTATCTGAAACCACACAACTCTGAAACCAAAGTTGTGTTGGTGGCATTTAAACCCTCAACATACCATCGAGAGTTCTGATGGACAACTGGACAAAGTTCCTCTTTTGCAGAGGAGACTAACAGTTCTGGCATCCTCCAAAAATTGCATCATTAACAAGGAAGAGAAAGATGACCAAGGGTTATAAAAGCCTGACTGGAAGAATGATGGAACAAATAGTTTCTTTCATTGAAGTAACATTAGTTCAAGTAACCTTTGACAGGCTAATCAGCTTAATGGGTGGCCAGAGCTCAATAGTTGATTTTACCGAGTTTGGCAGTTCCACATCAAATAATCTTGAACTATATATGTATAGTCTGAACTACAGTCACCCACAAGTTAGTGGCCAACTAGCTGAAGAATTTTACTCCAAAAGTTATTTGCTGCTAACTGGAAGACCAATGCAATGAAGTTTCACAGTTTTTTTCCTGGACCAAATAATACAAAGTTGTCAAGAGTATGATAAACAGCAAAGTCCTCGGTTTATGAATAAAGCCAAGCAGCTCTTGCCAACATTGTCCTTCAAAATGCAGAAACTCAAGAGTTCAGTTATTTTAAAAGGAAAAGTTCAACCTATAAAACCAAGCCAAAAGAACTACCTGGAAATACTGCAGCAGTGAAGAAAATGATCAAAAGGCTTAGTGAATCAAGTTAAGAGAGTTCAAAATGCATAGAAGTAGCATCCTGCTAGCATGTTTCAGCTCCTCTGCTTTTCTATCAACAGCTCCTACACACTGCAGTGAACTCAAGCATCACAGGATGCTTATTAAGCTATAGTGAATGGTTGTAATAAATCAGTTTTAGTCTGGGAATACTTGAACATTCTCCTTCCATTGTGAGAAGGGTTCTCAGATCAACTATTTACCATGATCACTAATAGTCAATTAGTTATGCCAAAATTCAAGAATTAGTGACAGTCAGACTAACTCCAATTTAATTGCCAACACCATGGCTCTTAAGTCCTTGCTGTCAACTACTCTGACCTTATCAGCCACACAGTGTGCAAGCACAGGGCCACTATTTAGGCTTCAGTACTAAACTCTACGAGTTAGTTGTTTCAGACAATTTCCAGGATCATGAGATTTTTGTGCTTTTATTCAACCTAGACAGGAACAACAATAAGCGAAACCCCTTTTTTCCAGTCTTCATTCTGCCAAGGGAAGGCCTAAGTTAATGAGCACTCTCT